GCACATCATAATGGCCGTCTGGGTATTGGGCACTCTTTGGTCTGTAGATCAGTGTCACAGTTTGAGCGGTGTGTTCAGTGCTTGGGCTCAGCTCCTGCATTTTGGTAAGTCTGCCATGGCTATCCTCTGTTAGGATGACAACCTTAGTACGGGTGGTTTCTGACAGGATTCTGATATCAAGAATGGTTCCCACAGTCATGGGATCCCTGATCTTTTCAGCATGTGACTGTGCCAAGTGGTCACCTGCCTCTCTTGCAAGTTTATGCTCAGAATTTCGATCTACTGGCATGTTTGTGATGTATCTGTTGTTCTGTCCAGCTCGGAGTTTTTCCTCTGTTCTGCCACTCTTTAAGCCAGATCGTACATAATTGCGAATGACACCATTTACTTTGTTTTGAACACGAGAAACACAGTGACTGGAGAACTTCTGGTGGAACACTTGTACCAAAGCATTAGCCAATAAAGCACTGATGGTGTCGGCCAAATCCTGCTTGAATTCTTTCAACAGCTCACTGTCAGAAGCAGATAGTTCATTTACCTTCACTTTCTCTAATTTTTTAAATTTAGTCAGTTGTTCCCGAAAGTTTGAAAAAAACTTGCTGGAGAGGCTGAGCACTACACTGATGGCGTCTCCTGCCAGTGCCCCCATGTGGACAACTTGGATGGCTGTTAGAATCCCACGTATTGTTCCCTTTGCCTCTTTTTTAGCACTGTCAATCACTGTGGAGAAGGATGAGTTCAGCTTGTTCTGCCAGTCAAGGTCTGCATAGAAAGGCTGTACTGCAGTGTTGCTTAATGTTCTGAAAATGTCCAGCAGTTGTTTCTTTTTGTTCTTGTCCTTCAGGAGATCATGAAGTTGCTCATTATTGTCAATGTGTGAGAGGATAACAAGGTCTACTAATGTAGCCAAGGGTTCTTTTTCCATGTTGGATTTCACGTCATCAACAATTCCATTTTTCACAAGGTTTTCAATGCTGTTTAGTATTTCTGACAGTATTTTCTCTTCTACCTTACAAAATCCATAGTTAATGATTTCCTCTACCATTTTTTTAGCAGTGTGTTTTGCAGTATTCTTCATATTTGTCTTTGTGACAACACTCAAAGTGTCTTTAGCTTGTTTGGAAAGAAACTTTGGCAGTGACTTCAGCTTTTTGCCGATTCCCTTAATTAACGTTTTACAAGCTTTGAAGCCTTTTGCGATCAGCTTTCCAAGTCCAAACCCAATGAGAGACACAACAATAGAAATGGCTTTTTCTATAGCCCATTTTTTCCAGCTGAAATCTCCTGTCACCATGGCCTCTATGCCATAGATGCAGTCTGATATTCCTTCAGTGATGAGTCCCATGCCAACTTGAGCTAATGTACCAAACGTAAATGCAGTTATCAGTGCTCCTCCAACAATCTGTAAAATTCCAAGACAGAACACTAGAAAAGCTTCCCATGGGAAACGGGGCTCCTCTTCCACAGAAAACACATATTTCAGACCTTGACTGTAGAGGTTATAGGCTTCCACTTGGAGATCATCATCATCAGCACCAGACACCAGAGAGAAAATTGGTGATTTATTGGCTACTGCATCCCGGTCGTTTTCTTTTATTTCATCCAGCTTTTGGATGGCCTCAGTAATGTTTTGGTTAATGTAACCTAACATCGTCCTCTTGGCTGTGACCTGTTTGTCTAGGCTGGTAGGGTTACTGTTGGCTGAGTCAGCAGATGACATTTTTACAAGCTGCAGACAGACCATGGATTCCTCAATGAGATACTTCAGAGACTCCTGTGCCTTCATTAGATCATCTCTGGCCTGATTGAGGTAATCTTTATTATCTCCATTCTTCTGCTTTATGGTGCAGTATGCATGATTGTAGAAAGCTATAGCTGCCCAACTTTCATCTTGTTTCATGGCTTTTTCAAAGAGCCGTCTGCTGACATTCCATCTTTTTTCACTCAGTGCGATATTTCCAAACTTGATGTAATGATAAATGCTGGAACACGGTGAAGTCTGACTTTCAGACTGACTTTTTGCCGATGACAAATCAGCTTTCAAACTCTTTTGCAATTCATCTCTCTTCAACTGGTCAATTTCCGCTGACTTAATTTGCAACCACATCCCCCAGAAGTCATTCATGATGGCAACAACAGCTCTTCTGTCATCTCCATCTGTGTTTTCATGAATATCTTGAAGAGTTTTGCAGTACTCTGAGAACAGGTCCTCCCGAAGTCTCAACTCAGTTACATCATTCATCATGTGATTTGTCTTTTCTGCTGCAAGTCTATCCCTCATGCTCTTAGCTTCCTCCAGAGAAGACACTGTCCTGAAAGATTGCTCCAGGTGTTCAGTCGAGAAGATTATCTGAGCAGATCCAGGTTTACCTTTACGTGCAGTTCGACCAAAAGCCTGA